GGTGGAATTTGCCTCGCGAACGAAAGTTGGACAAAAAAGGGAAAACAGATCAAAGGGAGCAAACAACCGAAGATCATAGTGGAAGCTAGATGTTCACAGTCAGGCCGACCGTGATAAAGAGGCCGCGACCGTGAGTGCAAGGCGACCAGGGAAGTTTTTATGCCTCGTATGCTTAAGAGAAATCACGATCATTCGACCGTGATAATCCGCTCTAGACTGTGAACTCCTTTACTGAAACAACACATTTTTGTTCGAGATTACGGTCCAAGCTTCAAGTTCACAGCCGTGAACTAGGATTGTGAAACGCGCTCGATATGGGTATAAAAGGAGAAGTGAGCTGAAAGAGAAGGGGTGGGAACCTAGTAAGAGAATTGCATCTTCTTCCTCAGATTTCTAGAGAGTGACGAACAAGAGAGGAGAAGAAAGCTAGGGTTTTATCCAAGCTTCAAGATTTGTGAATCTCATCTACCAAGGTTGATCTCTACACCAAAGGAAGAAGTCAAACATCTCAAGATGGTATTTTCTCTTCTCGTTTGTGTATTCCCTAGTCTTAGCATGGAGAGTACCCTTCTTTCAATTGGGTGTTGTAAACCCTAGCCAGGACTATGTGATAGGTTGTATAACTTGAATATTTTGTGTGTGGTTTGTGTTTTAATGCAAGTATTGAGGTATTTTCATGAAGGTTGAGTTGTGTTTTCCATTTCTCACTATTATGCCAATTTGACCTAGGTAGAGGGAAATCCCCTTATTGTTAACAGGCTTTTAAAAAAGCTTGAATTTTTGGCCAATTGAGCCACCTACTTAGGTCGAATTAGGGCAAACCTCATACTAAGTTTTAGCACCTCGAGTTGGTTGTCGTGTAGCTGTCCGGACTAAGGTCCGAGGGAATGTCAGAAACATGTTCTTTGGGGGTTTATTTGTCATTAATTATTATTCGGAGCATTTGATATTATGTTGGATATTTCGGACTATTGGGGGGGGGGGGGGGTTTATCAATTAGGTTAATTATTCGGGTAGTTAGAGGGAATTAGTCGGATTATATATATATTGTGTTCGGGGAAAGACAAAGGCAAACAATAACACAATAATTATTCCCTAAACCTGTTCTCCCTCAACCCTAGCCGAACTCTCTTTCTCTCACCTTAGTCGTTGGCCACCTCCTTCCCGGAGACCGACTTCTGCTTCTTCCTCACCTAAATCCTTGTTCTTCCTCATCCAAATCCCCAATTCTCATATCAATCCTAAACCCTAATGGCACACCTAGATCTGTGTTCTTTCAGGGAGAAGCCTAAGCAACCATTAGTCGATTAGCCAAGAGAGCTAACTTGTTGGCTTGATTTGATATCCATTGGACTATCGACTGAGAGGGTGAACTTCTTCGCTTGTTGCGCTCTTCTACGGTTTACAACCACTTTTCCACACACTTGCATTCTTGTCGACTAACCTCGATATATGGCTAAGGGGAACAGCACACGGGTGAAGCCTTCTCAATTAGTGTTCAAAAACCATTTACATTTTCGCTTGCTTTCAATTGTAATTCGTAGTTTTAATAAAAAATTAATTGTTAGATAATGTTTCAAACGATTGAAGTATGGGTACATGGACCGTCCCGGATTTGACATTTAAATACTTGCTCTATACTGCACACGGCTTTATACTTGGGCTCTTGTCGGGATTTTAATTTGTGGTGTATTAGTAGCACTAGTCAATGAGTACGTCCCAAAAGTGATTTTACCCAAATTTAATTTTATCCATAATAAAGTAGGGAGCAGACAGCTTAGAAAACCCTAACTACAAACTCCTACTCTAGTCGATTGGGACTTGATATGTTCATTGGAAGATAGACTAGAGGTTCAATATAATATGAAAGGGCTATTATGGAAGCAAAAGTCACGAGTTGATTGTTAACAGAAGGTGATTGTAATACTGCCTACTTACATATAGTACAACAACTAGGCATCAACCGTCAGGCCAACTTCATCTGGGGATTAGAGGACTCTAAGGGTATCTGGTGCTCAAATGAACATGAAAAGTTAAACATAGCTGTAGACTTCTACCAAATCTATTCCAATCCCATGATGCAGGGGGAATCAACCTGTCTAACCTTCCCTTCGAAAGGTTGGTCACATAAGATAAAAATCAAGGTCTTCTTGAACTTGAACCAATTACACCAAAAGAAGTCAAAGAACTAGTCTTTAGTATGAGTAAAACACAAGCACCCGGACCGAACCGTTTTACAGCTGGTTTCTTCCAAGCGTATTGGGATGTGGTAGGGCAAGATGTTATCTAAGATGTCCTAGCCTTCATTCACTTGGACCATCTCTTAAGATCCATGAATGGGAACCTGGATGTCTCTCATTCCAAAACCATTTGATGTTCAATTAATGAGGAATCTTAAACCCATCAGCCTGTGCCAAGTACTCTTTAAGATAATAACTAAGATCCTGGCTAATAGGCTTAGTCGAGTGTTACCCACCATTATATCTCAGACTCAGAACGGGTTTATCAAAGGACATCAAATCTCGGATAGCATCTTAATAAGCCATGAGATATCCCATCATCTTAAAACCATGACCTCGGGATGAAAACATGGATGGCACTGAAATTGAATATGGAAAAAGCATATGATAGTGTCGAATAGTCATTCCTTTTTTAGATGATGAAAGAATTAGGATTTGATCGAAAGTTTATATCATGTATTCAAGAATGCATTACAACATTATCCTACTATATGCTGGTGAATGGGGTCCCTTCCAACTATTTTCAACCTTCAAGAGACCTTCAACCTCCAATTTGTCACCACTTTCATTTATTAGTGAAGCTTGCATACAACCCTTATAGTTTCATCATTTGCCGATGATTTCCTCTTCTCATATGTGGTCCTGTTAGCAAGAGCAAGACAATGAATGCTTATTTAAAAGTCTAGTAATTTAATTTATGTGTGGGAGAGTGAACTTTAATATATGAGCTACTTTGCTTATTTATTTATATTTTGAAAATTAAAATTTATGGTTAGAAAATTTCTATAAAATTTATAGAATGTTTAAAAATTCACACTTGCTTTTGCGCTTTCGTTATTACCCTTCATTTGCTTTTACATAAAAGCTAGACTTTTACTACATTGCTGCTAAGGTCCAACACAAATGGCCTGAACAAGCCTTTGCATATCCATATAATTTCCAAAATGGGGGATCTACCACCACCCAGTGGGAATAACTGCATAAACACATTAACAATCTTCGAAAATGTAAAGATATGTTGACGAAGTAGAGAACACCGGACAACAAGAAAATTTAGTTGAACCTTTAAAATCCATCCTTGAAAGACGAACGCAAAACTGACGAACTAAAGAAAATACCAGACAAATCAGCCGGTAGCCATATTGATTGATCCTTGCCTTCGAGCTCCATGAAGTTGAAATCTTGGGAGGATCACAATAGAATTACCAAGGCTTCTCTAAACACTTAGTAGGGATGGCAGGAAAATGCATAATCGTGCGTACTGTCACGCCCCTAATCTTGGGTCGTGCGACCCTAGCTCTCAAATTCTGTTAGAGTGGATAGGCAGCCTTCTCACACTCTCACAAGCTCACTAAGAAAGAAAGTAGACAAAGGAAGTGGGGATAACTCTCTATGTGTATTACTCTATAAAATGATGAAATGAGTTACAAGCGGCAAAGATGACTCCTTATATAGGCCTCTCCTCACACAAGGCATCAATGTCCCCTCATAATCAGTGGAGGATCTAGGGTTGGGCCACCCTTATACTACGAATGAATTTTTTTTATTTTAGGTGTTCGGCCCAGTAATATTTAAAAGTCAGTCCAATGTTATTTGCCGTGTTATTAAACCCGGTCCGGACCGGCCGGTCAGACCGAAAAAACCCGGATCCGGCCACAAATCCGGTCCCAAAGGCATATAAACGGTCGTGCTTGTGATTAGTTTTTTTCCCAGTTAAAAAATAAACAGAAGCCTACCTTTTTGCTTTCTTTCCGTTAAAAAATTAAAGAGGCAACGGGAAAGTTAAAAAGTGACCACTACCTACATCAACCTCCCCTCTACTTTTCAATTTTGTCATTTTTTTATTTATTCTCACTTTATTCTTCTTAGCCAAACACCGGTTAATATCCAATTTTTAATAGCGGTTATCAACGGTTATCCGATAAATCTTGAACCTCTTATTAATCCGGATCGATGTCCGGTTCGATTTTAACAACACTGGTTATTTGATAATATGATTTTATGTAACAAGAGAGCAGAGCTGCTGTAGAAACAGAGCTAGGAAGCTCATGCAAAAATGTTAGAGAAATACTAATCAGCTAGTTCTTGTCCGCCCCCGCAATCTGAACTTGAGACGGGAAACTAATTCCCAAAGCGTCGTCTTTATTATTCTATCAAGCTCAATAAAATGTGAGATATACAAAGTCTTTGATGCTTGAAATTTGGGTGTCAAATCTATCACCCAAATCCTACTAGCAAACGATACCGTACTTTTTCTCACAAATGCTGGCTTGCAAACCCTGAAAACTCCATATTTGTTGTTGATGAACAAATGAAATGTTGCATTCTATGTTGGCCACTTGGCCTCTTCTACAAGAGAAGCTTCTCCAAAACTCGAATCAATTCTTCTTTGTTGGGTAAGCAGCCTTCATTTCCATCTATCATTTGATTCTTCTATGTCATACGAATACGACTAGAAAACACTATATTCTTCTATGCCTTAATTTTTCTTTCGTGCCTTTTAATGCCAGGTTATTAGATTAAGGCTTGACGATCGGGGTTTTCCCAGAGATTAATCTGTCCCAAGACACTAGTCCAATGATCCAAAGTATACCCTCAAATGCTACTTCAACTATACCAGTGGATGTGAGTAACACGAATGCTAATAGAGAAGTTCCAACAACTAATAATAATACATAACCAGAAGCTGGAACTGATGCTGAACCAAGGCAGGGGAGAAAGCAGAGTAAGGCATGGAAGCATTTCACAAGGATTAAAGTGAACGGAGTGAACCAGGCTCAATGCAACTATTGCAAAAAACTTCTTGGTGGGAAGTCCTGTAATGGCACGACCGACAACTCACCTGCTGAACCACTAGAAGATATGTACTCAAAAGGAAAATACGAGGTCCCGAAAGCTCTTGCCTCTATTTTCAGGGTCGCCTAACCACAATAGTGAAGAGACAAAGGGGAAAAAAGACATGAAGGAGAGAAGACAGATCGAGTAAACAACCCCCTCTATCACCAACAAAACAACTCAATGTACATATCTAAAAGATCAGACACGAGGAAGAAGAAGAAACAAAGGGATACTGCCGACGGCGGCCCTCTACAATACCAATCTCTCCATACAATTTATTGCCGATCCAAAGAATAAATTACAAGGCAAACGGCTACGGCTTAAGCAGCCAAAAAATCACCTGCTGGCTGAAAGTGCCAAAAAGTATACAACAAGAAAAGATGCAGCAGCAAGAACCTAATAACACGCAGCTGACGAAACCAATAATACGTCACAATTGAGGTGGAAGGCTCACCTGACCCGGAATTTTGGCCAAACGGATATGACACCAGGCCTTGCCTCATCAAAGCGGTATCTGTGAAACAAGATGGTCATAAATTAACATAAACCACACCAAAATTTCAGTTCTCATGGCAAGGGACAGGAAAAATACAAGTCGCACGTAATATGTAACTATCTTACCCGCTTTCACTAAGGAAACCTCTTATTGCAGTTGGCAATGCAGCTTCACCCCGGCTATGATTGCCTACCCCTGATAAAGAAGCCGTAGGATGTTTTAGTTTCAACTCGATCACACTTGCAAATGCTGCTCAGCCTCTGATGCAGATTGGTCAAAAGATACTAATATTATCTCGATCTCAGAACTAAAATCAATAGTGAAGGAGTGTACCTGTTATTACTTGCAATGGTGTTGATCTGTGCCTAACAGCCACCTGCTTTTTGTCCGTGCCATCTCCGGAACTGGTGGTAAATGACTCGAGCGATGAGGAGCGTACCATTCCATTATTCATCTTGATTTTACAAGGAGATGGTGCACGATTCAGTGAAATCAGGGTCTCAATCTTGTGTAGATGTTCCTTCAAGGCTTGAACAGCCTCTGATGCATGAAGGCCGTGCAGGTCCAGTTTCCATGCATGGCTTTCACTATTTCTGATGCTCAGAATCTCTCTGGCTGCTTTGGAATTGAGTTTTTCAGCGGCCATCCAGTCGGCTTGTGCCTTCAAGGAGTGTTGTCGTGCAGAAATGTGGTCTTTTCTAAGAAAGGCATTAGTAGCTGCCCTGGAATGCTGAGAAGCTGACCTGCAAAACAACCTTGCAATCTTCATATCTAGGTACAACCACTTCTGAGTGAAGTACATGGAAGTTCTGAGGACAGGAAAGCTAATGAAAAACTTAAGATTGTTGCATTCTAAAAGGAAAAATCAGATTAAGATCCTGCATATGCAAAAGCATTTCAGACAAAGCTTCACAGTTAACAATAACTTAGTCTGAAACCACTAGCAAGACTATGCAAGCTAGTAACAAACTTAAGATTGTTGCATTCTAAAAAAGAAAATCTGATAATGACTGATAATGATTGTCGATTGGCTAATAAATTTTTATCTTTTATGTCTGAAGAAAGGAACTGAAGTCAAATAGTATCATAAAATCTACTAATTACTGATTTCTAAGAATTGTATTTAGTTAAATGAAGATTGAACAGCAAAGATATTGAAAATCACAATGTGGACCATATGATTAAATAATCATCGTTAGAAGTTAATGCATTTCAACTTCACTTGGTCAGCAGATACATAAAGAATGCATTTCTAGTGCAAAGATAGATGTTAATAATTAGACATGTTACATAATTCAGTTTTGACCAGATGATCAACAGTTGTTCCTATCAAGAAAGGAGAAAAGGTAACTCGAGATGACATAGTGCCAAGGAAGGAATGCAATACATCCCCAATCAAACATTCGGATGGAAAAAGGCCACACACCTCATCATTTTCATTGCAACCTTTCGATGGCTTAAATAGATATCGTGCTCTTCCCACTCCGGCTCAACAGGAACGGATCTCAAATGCTGCAAAACCAGTTTCATATTTGAAGTAGCATCATCGACATTCATTGGCTCACTAGTACCTTTCAGAGCATCCTCGAGAGTAGAACTCAAGTTGGCAATCTCTGCAGCAAGGTCTATCGTCTCTCCTGACAGTGCACCCTTATTCAACCCATTACTATGAGGAGATTTCCCATAGACAGAGTAGGCTTCTGCTCCCATACTTTCACTTGTATTTGTACTGGAACACATTTCTTTCAATAAATATGATGCATTTATGACATCGCCATCAGCAGCAGCTATTACATCATCAATCAAGGAATTGTCAGCCCAACGGTGAAGCTCTTTGAGCTTCTGAATAGAGAGATCAAGATTTCTCCCCTTGAACTGAACACTTTTGCAAGAGGTACCAGCTTGGTTTCCCCCGGTCGTGGTGCTTTTATCTACCAGAGTTGGAAATGCTGGAGCTGGTAAAAGTAATGATGAAAAAGACTTCTTAACGAAGGTGTTGTTCCCATGGGAGTTGAGCGAGGCGACTGCATTTGAGATGGGTGGATACTGATCTTTGCCGGCTTTGAGTTGACCATCAGCATCTTCTCGATGCTTGAGATCAAAGGCAGCCCAACCAGTGGATTTAACCCTTGTCTTTGAGGGCTTCATGTGCGTATTTAACTTGGATCATAGACAAGGCTAGCCTCAAGAATTAAAATGAAGCAAGCTTGCTCTTTTATGATGAAAATGCCAGGTAAAAGTGTATCGAAAGGCACCTGAAATGCAGGAGAAGGTTAGAAGAACACATAAAATGCAAGGATGCTCCTCATTTAGCAGCGGGGAGCAGACAATCCCCTAACATACAAGTGAGAGAAAGAGAGTTGGGGTTAAACAAAATTAAATTAGTATTAGATGCAATAAGATATGAGAAACTAGATCAGCAAACTGATAGCGCGAAGCTCCAAATACTAGTACATGTCCGTGAAACTGTAGGGAACAACAATTTGCCAAGTACCAGCAATCTTAAGCACCATGTTCATACATCATACATAAATAAACAATCTTATACACCATGGAAAAACTCGAAAACGGTTACTACTTATGCATTCAGGCTTTTCCCATTTGAGCCACTAGGATACAAACCAACAAGTAGCAAAAGTTTGAAAGAAAGAATCGTCTGCAAAGCTTGAGAGACAGCTGCAAACAAAACCTCCCAATTATTCACTTAATCCAGAATCTACAAGCCCATAAAGCAAATTGAACCCACAGCAAAAGCAACATCAATACAAAGGCAGTAGCTTGCAAGAAGAAAACTTTCAGGGACGTAAATCAAGCAAGGACAAATCATCAGGCGAAAAGTAGGTGCGAGGAGTTCAAAGTAAAAGCAAAAAAAATAACAAAATTGAAGTGAAAGGAAATATACCTGAAAAGGGAGAGAGAAACCGGAGAGCTATCGAGGAAGGGTGAAGCGTAACCAAGGAGGAAGCCCTGGAATTGAGTTACGGAGATGGAAATTGGGTTTGAAGGAGGAAGAAGAAACAGGGTTTCTGGATGCACGAGAAGGAGATGAAGAAGCTGAACCGAGGATAAAGGTTGAACAGAATCTGATATCCATAAATCTTCGAATAGTCTTCCGCCGGTCTCTGTTTCTCTCAAACACGCCACGGCAGAACACGGAAGAGGATGAAGGGGAAGAGCTGTTGATGAAAACATATATTTTATTGTTGTGGAGGAAAAGAAAAACTTAATTTCCATAACTGATTCCCCTTTTACTTAATTTCTTTACCAGCTAACGGTAATAATAATTATTATCTTTCAAATATTCTAAGTTATTAGTTATACAATAACTTATCATTTTTTTCCTTCATATTATACGTATTTATTATTGTGCTAAAATTTAGTAAATAAATATATATTTTCATCATGGTTCAAAAAGGCACGCTTAACCTTACGCTTAGGCACGCCTAGGCGCAAGGCAATGGAAAAACGCCTCGCCTAGGGGTTTAGCGCCTAATTAGATGTTGGAACACTTCAATGGAGTAAGGCGACATCTAAGTCTGTCCTAAACATTTATAGATGGAGCTAGGAAGTCAATATTAATGGATAAAATTAACATCAACTACTAAATCAATTTTCTATATCAATATTTTCAATAGCTCAAGAACTTTGTGAGCTATTGATCTATAAATCTACATTCGTGAGCTATGTTCTTGTCACTAAGTGTTGAGTAAGTTATTAATCATTTAAACTGAAGTGAGGAAGTATTGTAGATTATTATTCCATTCGTCATGTAGTGCGAATAGCTATTTTCTTACAACGCCTAGGCACGCTTAGTCTACGCCTAGACAAGCTAGGCGCTAAGCAAAGGCTCATCGCCCGGCTTACGCCTAGCGCCTTTTTTAACCTTGATTTTCATGCATGTTTTGGTTTTTGGTGTCCTAGATAATATTGATATATTTTTGAAGATGATTTAAATTTATGTGTTAAGTTATTTTCACATCTATATTTATTTATAATATCTCTAATATAATTCATCGAATATATAGTGACCTGATTACTATAAATGCTACAGAAAGTTGTAAAAATCGAAAATTATATTTAACAATGTCTTCTTATTTGAAAGGTTTCCCAAAGTCTACCATGTCATACTTAATACATAAATGTGAGTACAAGAAAGATCATTCCTCGTGCACCCAAAATGATTTGATGGAGTGGCTTGACCAAACTTTCCATTTGAAAGTTAGTCAAGGAATGATATCGAACACTCTTAAGCAATTGTTAGAGTACCAATCAGTTGAATTAGATCAAAGAAGAGCTTCCAAACGCCACAAGCCATCCAAATTTCCTAAGATGGAGACGATTATTTTTTATCAGTCGTGAGGAAAGTTCAAGATGAGAGAGGAGAATGAAGCATTTAAGACCGCATCAACTCTTCAAAACTACTTCTCACAATTAGAGAACACAATACCAGATATTTTGAGTGCAATGAGGAAAATTCGAGATGAACTTCTACTATACTTGAACTTCAAAAAGAAACAAACAAGTATAGATTCATATTTTTCTAAATTATGTTCATAATATTGTAAATTTTTTGATGAATTTTATATTTATATTTATAATTATTAATTTATTGAATTGAAAATACATGTACTTATGCAAGTTGGTCCAAACCGAGAAAGGAAAAATTATTAATTTATTGGGTATAAATTTATATAAAGTTTACACTTTACAGTACATTAGTAGTTGAGAGCGAGAATTAACGCCAAACATATGATTATTAACCCATAATTGTTCCACTGATTCACTACATCCATCCATATAATATATTAGGAATTTATTACGGTGACTTGCAAGTCATCGTAACTTGCACTTTTTGGTCGATATCAAAAGTTAAGCATGGTCGATCGAATCTATTAATTCTATTTTGTGATTGTAAACAACGCGGTTGACCTTGTACATCAAAAGGTCGACCTCTTTGGCAAGCGAACAACATAAAAGTGCATTAAAACGGTGGACCTTGTATGCTAAAACGGTTGGCCTTGTGCATCAAAAGGTCGACCTCTGTTTTAAAAAGGTCAACCTCTATCACATACCAAACTTGAACATGTTTCCGAAAATAGTAGAAACAGTCGACCTGTGAGTTACGTGGTCTACCAAATGTACTCTATCCGTATTGAATAAGGAGGCCAACACTAGAAAGGTAACCCTAGAAAGGTCAACATAGTGACCGCCACTCAAACACGGGATTTGGTTCTTTTAGGGTTAGAGTTTTGGTGAAAAAGAAGACTGCTACTTGTTCTTCCTGTTCGGGTTCTAGACGGTCGACCACATACAAGGTGAGGTCGACCTAATTTAGGGTACGATGTGGTCCTCGCTCTATACTAATTTGCTCCGTTTGATTTTAGTTGCTTTCATGTTCTAGGGTTAGAGTTTTGGGGAAGAAGAAGAAGATCGTGGTGGTTGTTCATGTAGGTGTTCCACGCGGCCGACCAATTCAAAGGTAAGGTCGACCGATTATAGCTAAGGGCGTTGTGATTATTTTTTTCATAATTTGCTTCGTTTAATTTGATGGTTTAGTTGCTAGCATAATGAGGATTCGGTCGGCCCAATTTGTATCATGGTCGACCGTATGTGTTAGTTTTGTTTGTTTCTTCAGATGTCGACTTTGGCTTTGTTTGTAAGTCTCTGTTACGATTATGGGTCGATCGAGAATGGTTAAAGGTCGACCTAAATGGTTCTGGTAGTTACGACATTAGGTATATAAGGTCGACCACATAATATTTCTGGTCGATCTAATCTCCGTTGTTAGTCATTTGTACACATTTGGAGTTGAATTTTGATTTGAATATTTTTTTTAAATTGATCAGACGATGGCGCATGATGAAAACAACAACACAATGGGGGTGAAATTATGCAAGTGTTGAAAGCCACACAAGAGCAGATGGTGATGTGCGACAAAAATTCAATGACTATCAGAAGACCATCTATGATACACTGGAGCAGTTGTCAGTTTGATTGACAGATATGACTGGGATGATGCATAATGGGTGGTTTGAGAGGCTAGAATGTGCTATCAAAGAAATACGTGCAGAACGAATGGAGAACGGAGGAAGAGATGGTACCAGAAAGAAATTTGACTTTGATGAAGAGGAGGAAGACCATGATGACTCTGCAAATTGCTACCGGAGTATAGACGACTTATTGAAAGACCAAAAGAAAAAGGTAAAAGTATATTCATATGTGAGTGAAGATATTAGTATTACTATCATTAGTGCTAATTTGTTTTGTTTATATGATTGACAGAGTGAAACAACGTTTGGCAGCAATGGTTCCTCTCCTAAGTACAAGAAACCTCGATATGAAAGTGACTCCTACACCACTCCACAAAAATATCATTTACTCATAAAAGGATTGTTTAGTGTTGATAGCGACGCGGATGAATCTAAGAGTCCTTTCGAAAAGCACGGAGTAAGTTTACGTTACATATTGATCTATTAAATTGCGAATGTGTGTTTGTTTTCATATGTAGCTTTATTTTTAACTTTGAGTTGTAGGTCATGAATGTGGAGGGCCTAGAAGGATTTATTCAAAATTTGCAAAATCAGGTTGAAGACTTGCTTTATTTTGTTACTAAAGAGAAGGCCGGAGACTCGAAATGTGACAAGTAAGAGAGCTATTATTTTTTTAAAATAGTATGTGGTGAACCGTTTAAACAATGAGGTCGACCACGTCGTCCTGAATAGGTCGACCTTGTCTCTGAATAGGTCGACCGATACTATGCAAGTCACAATTGACATTTTTGTTATTTTGTTGTTTGTAGTTTGGTCGTTATTGACTTTGTTCACGAAAACGTACGACGACAATATTTGAGTTCGGTCATTAGCGAGAGTAGCTGGATTTGCTCATCCGTGACCGTAAGTACTATACTGCTACGACTTTGATATGAATTGTGCACTATTTCTATTATGATTTACAAGGATTTGTGCTTGATTGTTGGTTTGTAGGTAGTGGATTTGTGTGCAAGGGCACTAACAATGTCTCAAAAACATGAGAATAAAGATCCAAATGTGTGGTATTTTCCAAACATGTTTTCGGTAAGAGGCATAATTTTTATTTATTTGTCATAACCTAGTTATTAATATTGTACCATATCAATTAATCTCAATAAATATATGGTGCAGAAAATGGTACGCAGTAACATGAAGACCGAAAAAATTTGTAACAAGTTGCTGGATGATGGCGTGATATTTATGCCGAATGTTAGTGTGTACCAGAAGGTTAGTCAATGTCCCTCTCTCATTAAGCTTTCAAAGTGCATTTTTTTGTATTCTCATTTGATAACAAACTTTTTTGTTTTGTAGATATTTATGTCAGTTCTGGATGATGACACACGTCATTGGTTTCTGTATCTCATCAATGTCAGCAAAAAACCGTATTTCTGCTTGACAATCTACCAACAACTAGTGAGGCGGGTTGTAAGCGTAAATCAAAACACTTCAAGAAAATGGTAAGTATTTCCTATCATTTTCTGACTACTAAGTGCCACGTATACGGCTAAAAGCATATAATATTCTATGTTTGTGTGTAGTCCCAACTGCATGATATTTTCAAACCAGAGCGCATGAGCAATGTAGCAGTACCGAATTTTGGAGATTTCAATATCGAAGAGCTACGCATTCAAGGGCAAAGGAATGGTACCGAGTGTGGTGTGCACGTGATGCAGTGGATGTGCTATGGATCCAAAGATTTGGATAGAGTGGTATGTATATTCTCAACCAAAAACCTTGCTTAAATTTGTTATTTTATAGTTCTAACGAAGTGTTATATGCCATAATGTAGATAGGAGAAGAACACAAATTACCGGCTCGAAAGGAGATTCTATGGTATCTGGCTACACATTTTAGAAATTGTGCACTAGAAAATCTTTTTAAGCATGTCGTAGATGAATGCATGGAACGAGGCAAAGAGATAAAACAAAAAAGCAAAGAAATGATATCATTCAGTTACAATGTTACATTTTCTAGACAATACGTTAAATTTTAATTTGCGAGGTTGTTTTCTTTAATATATTCAATGTTTTCGTTTATTTGATTAGTTATTTCATGATGGATTTCAAGGAATTTAGAGTATGAATCGTTTACTCAAATCGTTCGACCAAAGAAACAAAAGGTCGACCTCGTCTGCTTACGGTC